GAATATTACACAACTTGTGTTACAACATAAGTTTAAAAATTGCTGCGAATACATTTGCTTACTGAATATAATAAGTAGTATAAAACAATATACAAAAGACTGGGAGAGAACTGAGTAAGAACAGTGTAAGACAGACTTAACAGTGCAATACATTTTGTATACAGAATACACTCATTGGGAATTTAAATAAGAAAGACTAGTTCAACAAGGAGTTCTCTTTTCGGCCAATTCATTCTCTCTCTCTCTCTCTCTCTCTCTCTCTCTCTTTATATATATATATATATATATATATATATATATATATATATATATATATATATATATATATATATATATATATATACTTAGTCTTTCAGGATGATAAGAATTACAATAATGATAATAATGAACTTCTGTTTGAAATGGTGACAGTGAAGTAGAATAAATAAAGGTATTAAAAAAGTATTTTAATATGGAAACTATAAAGGAAGAAGAATAGCCATCTGCTTCCTCTTCCATTTTCTTCTTAAACCGTATACCCTCAACTGGTTTATTGCTGTTTCTATGATCCTCCTGATTACATTTAATTGGAATTTCAACATTTGACCTTATCATGCTTAGCCATACTTTCCCAATCATAAGTTCCCTATCTATCTTTTGGTGAATATTAAAAATCAAGCGATTATTAGTTACCCTGTTTATAAAAGTCTTTTTTTGAATACCTTTGTTTATTCTACTTCATTATTATCATGTCTATTATCAATATTATTGTAATTATTATCATCCTGAAAGAACTCTTTACTGAACCAGTCTTTCTTATTTGATTTCTTAATAACTGTATTCCCTTCGACAATAAAGAAACGTGATGGGTTTCTGTGTTATTCTGTCAGACTTGCTGAAGTACATGAGAATGTTATCTTTCTTAAGTATTGTGTTAAAATGCATCAATACATTTCAAACAATCTGATTACACATATACTTGTTAAGACATTTTTAAGATGAAAATTGTAAGGTAAACCGTAACAAAGATGATAATAAAATATACAAAAACAATGTGATAACTAATCTGGATAATAAATCACTATTACCAGGGTAGGTTAAGGGTAAGAACCAATTAAATTCACTTGATATTGTTTGCTTGAATTAAAACAACATCGAGGCAGTACGAACAGTATACACATATGCCAATAAGAGATTGATCAATTGCAGTCCTAAACATCAATGGGAAGATTCAAATAACAATATCAAGTGAATTTAAATTTCACCCCATTTCACAAGCAAGTAACTATCAGGACTCAGTAGCTAAGTGGATAACCTGATAACGTTTTAAGTGAACGGTATTGGGTTCGTGTTGCAGAGTGAACATCAACTCTGAGATGCAGGAACATCTAGCTGACGCGTCCCAAATCAGGAGAAACACGCGTCCTGGATTGCACTGCTACCCACTATCCATCTTTGGTTGTATGAACAAATTGTTTTTGAACACATAAAGGGGGTTTCAGTTTCCGTATAGTCAAAGCTTCAATAAACCATTGTATACGCCCTTGAAGGCCTTTGTACAACACTACAAATGCTGACTTGATATTAACCTTATGACTAGTCTCAACTAAATGTTTCGCAATAGAGGAAGATGTTTGTCTATTCTGTGATCTTATTTAGCCATTGGAATTCATTTATTTCTGAAGCTATTTGGGTATATGTTCCGCCATCCTTACTGGTAGATCACGATTGCTTCTCCCTATGTGCATCTTTCCGCGTATATATGTAAGTGATATCTAATGAATCTTATCTACATTTTGTTTAATTTCTCACTTATTAAATGAATATAATATAACAATTTGTGTAATGTAAACATGTATTCACCATATTTGAATAATTTGGGGTTGTTTTCCTATATGTTAGGTCGTAAATAATCATTCTATTTATTCATTGTAATTAAATTACATCTTTTGGTGTATCCTGCCATCGGATCTGTCTTCTCGTCTGGTTTCCAAGTGTTCTGTCAACACCGTGCTTTCGATTCACTGAAACTCATCATTATGTATGACAATTATTGTTGACACAACGTTCTACTACACAACGTTAAAAATATTCTTATAAGTAGAGTCGATCACGGTGAGACTATAATTTATGAACGAACCAATCAGATATAAGAGAACAGGTCTTGAATTTCGCATCGAAATTCATTCATCTATTTGGTTAAATAGCGTTTCGACATTCTAGCTAATGTTAGCTCGTGATGAAAACCATCAACTGTATATCACAATTCTAATTCCTTATACTGCTTTTCAACCATTATATAATCCTAGTTAGTAGGTGGAACTTCACAAGGTTACTTTAGCGTCACTCAAAGGTCACCCATAAATTATAGTCTCACCTCTATCACACATTTAATACATGGGTTGAATCTATCTTTAATATAAATTGATTCATCTTGTTATTTTTACTACAAGATTATGGTTGATATAGAATAGATGAAATGTGGCTAGGGTAGGAATCTTAGTTATTTCCCTTGTCCTTTTTGAGAATTGTCAAGTGAAGGTACATGCATCTCACATTGAGAGAATTTGTCGGGGTTTGAGATGCGGGTACATCCATATGACGAGTCCTAAATATGACAAAACTCACGTCCTGAATTCCACTGCTACACTCTATCCATCTTTGCTTATTCATTATGATTATTATCTTGAAGAAGATCAGCCTTCTCGGGGAAGAGTTGGAATTATTTAAATTTAAGTCACTGGGATTATTTCAGATATGTTTTGAAACATAATGTCTTGAATATACTTGAAACCCAGTTTCTGTCAAACTATTCAGGTTTGCATTCGATACCCGGTGATAATTTTGTGGACACACTGCTGAGAGGTTCGCTACTATGAAAAACAGCTATTATGTGTTCCCAGGTTTACAATGTTTGTCTTACTTAGATTTGTTCGTTACTTGACCAAAGATCGATAATCTCAGCAACCTCGTAATTGATACTTTTTACACCTTGTCTAGTGTTAGTGTAGGATACTACTATTTTGGTCAAAGTAATTTTGCCCAAAAGAAATGATAGCCTGTTTTCTCTCTGAAGCCGTTTTTTTGGAGTAGAAGAAGGTATAAGTTTTGAGAATGTCGTTGAGATCGTAAGCTTATCTAAGTTAGGCAACTACTGAAGACATGAGGTCACTTAAGAGACATTTCTTTCTAGTATGGGACTCCTCAATAGTGTACATTCACTATCCCGTAGCTGAGAACCGAAACCAGGACCTTTGCTATCACGTGCTAACTCCAACTTTCTAGACCACTGAGTCGGGACCCAATTTTGTACAAGTCTAAATTCAGGCAATGTGACTATGTCACAACCACATGGGTTATTCTAGCTTCCAGAAAGACCAGTTTGTTCATTCGTCGTGAGTCATATTTTTACCTTGTCAATTATTTACTTACTAACCTTGACTGTTTATATATGGGTGTGTGTTAGTCCCTTACTCTACTCACGACATATCTGTAACATAATTTTGTCTGACTATAAATATCAATTCACGCTTGGTTAAATGGAGTTGGCTTAATTTCCTTTTTCACTGCGCGTCATTTCATTTCGCATCGCTTTTTCCGCTTCGTTTTTACCGCGGACTGCTCGCGATGTCAACTACAGAATCAACGCGGATCTTCAGTTGGCATCGTTTATGATCAGAAATACGACGGTATTTGATCGTCTTCAAAACTCTGACGTTCGCTCCTGATCAATTAAAACATTCTTGGTAAATGCTTTCGATGTAGTTTGTCTGGCGTCGATCCCAGAACTTCATCTCTAACACCACCGTACAAATGCCCCCGTCTGTCCTTCGAATCCAAAAACCAACAAAGTAGAACCAAAGTCCTATTTCATTATTCCATGCAGAAAGTTTTAGGCGCACAGACCTACTTTAAGCACTCCAATTTGTTCAAAGTAAAGATGCTGTCCGCTTTCGACACCCTTTTAAAGGCATCCGAAAGCATGCCAATAGATCAACAAGACGAAATCATCAACCCACCAGCACCCATTTAACATAGACACGGCTGAAAGGCTGCACAGCCACTACAATGGGATGAACACGTCCTGATCTTAACCAAAATCGTGAACAAATAGAGGAATGCGAACGCACGATCCAGATCCAACTACGAGTCCAGTACTTCCTAGTTTTCATTGGTTGTTTAACTAAGATTAATCTTTGATGTGAATTATGTAATTTTAAGAACAGTTTAATTCACCATATAATTCTTTATATATATATTTCAACAAAAATGCAGCTTGTAAATAAACTGTACTGAATTTAAATTCACTTGTTATTGTTTGTTTGAATCTTCCTATTGATTGTTAGGACTGCAATTGATCAGTCTCTTATTAGCATATATACATACTGTGTGTATTGCCTCTATATAACCTTATACACACAGTATGCACATATGCCAATAAGAGATTGATCAATTGCAGTCTTAAACATCAATGGGAAGACTCAAATAACAATATCAAGTGACTTTAAACTTCACCCCATTTCACAAGCAAGTAACTATGATGACTAAGTAGTGGCGTGGATAACCTGATGGTGTTTGAAGTGAACGATACTGGGTTCATGTTGCAGAGTGAACATCCGTTCTGATGATACAGGTACATTCAGCTGATGAGTTCCAAGCATGACTACTACTACTACTACTACTACTACTACTACTACTACTACTACTACTACTACTACTACTACTACGACTACTACTACTACTACTACTCATGATCCATCCTTGCATATAATGTATTGAAGTTAGTTTTAAAAAATATGTATATTTGTGATAGTGAATGAACATAAAAAGAAAACGAGAAGAAGAAGAAGAAGAAGAAGAAGAAGAAGAAGAAGAAGTCGAAGAAGAAGAAACATAAACATTGTGGTTGTTTTAGTTTACTTCAAATAAAATATTGTTTTAATAACATATCTAATTTAATTGTATAATTGAAACATAATAAAATAAATATGAACATTAATCTAATATATTATTATGTTAATTTATTTTAATCGTAATTGTTTCATTGATTTCGTTCGAACTAGAAAATAGATTAATGCAGCCATAGCAATAGTTAATAGAATAGCAGCAAATACAATTAATGCAATTGTTCCAGGATGTACTTGTTGAAAAAAGGAACAGAGAAAAATAAAATAAAACACGTGAAAATTAAAAAAAAAAGAAGAAAGAATTAGTTTATTCAATGAAGTTATGAATGAACCAATCAGATCATAAGTGAATAGATCTTGAATTTTAATGTGAATTAATTCATTCATCGATTTGGTTAAATGGAGTTTTGACATTTTAGCTATTTATATTTATTTACTTTATTTGAATACATAAATATTGGTACAATGGAGCACTGAATACATATACACCACACAAATCACTTGATTTGTGTGTAGGCTGTGATACTGTTCGGGTGCTTAGACCAAAGCAGATGGTTTCCTTAGGGGGCCACACCCGGAGCCTTTGACCTAAAGGTCTGATCTATATGGTAGTGGAGCAACATCAGAAGATTCAGTCCCATGGTAGCGGATGATTGATAATTGGTTCATACGCCATTTGTTTTTTCAGGATCATGGAGCCCATGTGCACAACTGGTTTGGAATGAGAGTTTTCCAACTTCTCTAGGTGAACTCTCCATGTTCACCAACCCGGTTAAAGCGCCGGACATTCGCTTCTCGTCCTCTCAATTTCCTAAACAATACCTCTACCGTGAGAGGGCAGTGAGTAGGACTTCGCTGGCAGTGGCTGCATACGCGTGACTATGTGAGAGCATTTGGAGAGAGAGTGATCTGACTCTCCTCACTCTCGCCCGTACCAGAACATTTGGAGGCTTGATATTTTAGCTGATACCAGTAAGTACTGGAAAGCCTAAATCTAACGCTGAACTATAACCATCAACTGTAAATCATAATTCTTATTCCTTACACCTTTTTTATAATCATCATTTAGTTCTAGTTAGTAGCTGGACATTCTCAAAGTCATTTTAGCGTTCCTTAAAGGTGGTCCATAAATTCTAGTCTCACCAAATAAATAAAGTGTGAAATGAATAGTATAAAAATGGTAGACTGCATACATCATTAGTTACAAGGATTTTTTTGCTCAATAAATAATGTCCAGAAACCATATCATTCATTAGTCATTTTAAACTTGCTACAGATCTTATTAACTGTAATAAAATAACCTAATTGAAAGTTAATAGTTCACTATAACTGATCTTATAATAATGTGTATGTGGGGTAACAGATCACAAATTAAGATACTTTACTTTCAATTACTAAATCTCAGTTTCGACTTCCATTCCATCTAATTTTATTTCAGTAACCTGAGTAGTATCATTGACTCTTGCGCTAAGATGGTGGCTTGAAACCAAGTAAGCAAATTTGTGCCCAGTAAATGACTTACTAAATGGATACACATAGTTCGCTCACTGAAATATCAAACTAATCAACCAAGAAATATCTTCTTCGTTTACATTTATCTCAATCAATATTACTGATTAACTTGGTACAATTTAGTCATTTAAATGTTTGAAATAAACGAAAATGTCTATTATGCAACTAAAAAGTAAATTTAAGATGATCCCTAAGCTTAATTACAAAACAAACCTGGTCATTAGATAGAATGTATGTTAAAGTACTTGATATGATTCAATGCTTGACCAGAAGTACTTCATGAACCTGAATAGTTTTCTCTCGTTGCAATCCTTACTTTTAATTTCAACCCCAAGTTTCCCAAGTTGGCATACAAATGAATTATAAACTATTACATTATAGTTGATGTTAGTTCATGACGAAAACTTTAATCTTAATGATATGTAGGCGAGGAAGATAATGATTAGTTGTTTCCTGATTAAGACTCGTAGATACTCTGATAGGTACTAGATGAGTTATATATTCTTCTACCCTTATTATAATTGTGATTGTTGTCGGTTACTAATGTGCAAATATACTTACGTTCTAGTCAGGCTAATCACGTGTTCTTGATCTGAGTTGTGCTGAAGTTCTGTAGAATAGAAGCTGATAGGATATCTAGTGTAGATATTCGTCTAAGGTAAATTAACATTTCATTCGTGTAGACGAGGAAGACCGAGCATTATAATGCTTAATTTGTAAACCTTTATCAAAACTCCAGCTTAACTCTAAATACCCAACCCTAACTATTTTACATTATCGCTAGCGTTAGTTGGTAACGAAAACACTATGGGGGTAATAACCCTAGCTCATATAAATAATTGATTGTTTCATCCTATTACCAGTTTAATTTGTTATCAGTTAAACAAATTAGATTATATACAAACATTTTTATCTTATCACTAGCTAAGCAATTGTTATGTTCAGTGGTTGGTATTGAGGAAGATAAAGAAAGAAGTACTATGAAGAACAGAAATGGATTTCTTTGTAGAAATTTGTTTTGCCATGATACTCTTCAAGCTACTGTTCTTCAAGTAGTATTGTATTTTTTTACAAGTGAAGTTACTTTTTGTTCAATTGTATCTATCACTTACGTAAGATTCATCGTTAAAGAGATTGATGTCAAACTACTAGGTAACCTTTGTAAATTATAGCTAACACAATACAAAATATCACAGTCAGAATACTTAATATCAAGCTATAAATACAATAAAACAAATTAGGAACATAATGGTATATAAAAAACTATATACTATTGTTGAGTCGGCTTTCCGAGAACTGCAACGGAGCCTCCAGAGGCCCTAGAGGAGTCGAAGAGTCTTAGACAATCAGAGCATGATGGAGCTCTCTAGAATGTCAACGTGGCGTGCTACTATTGGTCAGTGGCACAATATGTCTTTTAGTGGATTGGCTAAAATATGATGTTGATTTAATAAATGTTAACATCTATAAATACCTGTTTTTCTGTACAAAAACAAACCTTGGAGTAAAGTATTTCTCGCATACTTTGCGTCTTCTCTCTTGTGTTTAGGTCGCTGTATAGTTCTAACTTGAGGGTTACAGAATAGCTTAGGAAACGAATCTAGCATTCAATTCGCAACTATAATACATATAGTGTACTGGGGAAAAACATTTTGAAACATACGTGTACAATTTTTTCCTGGATCATCTGGATTTACATCTTTCCACATTGGATCACATGTACATGTAACACCGTTGTCAGTATTTCGACATGATGCATGTTCACCACAAAGTGATCGAGTTTGTGAACATGTAATAGTTGGTGAAATCCCTGTGAAAACAGAAAGAAAAACAACATAACGTTTTAAAGAAAATTAGCTCAAGAGTTAAGCTTGATCAAAATTATTCGATAAATTAAGGGTGTTGGAAGTATAGATAGAAGAAAATAGTCAGAAAGAATATGTATTGGTTTAATTCATTACGATTCTTTTCATCAGAAAAATATCCTGGATTATTTTTTATGTTGGTTAGTAATTGAAAACAGAACTTGAGTTTCATCCTATTCATGTCTTATCTGTTGGATGGATCTAAATTGAAAGTGAGTACGAACTCGATGCCTATCACTGCAAACATGAATGAATTATTCAGTATGTTATAAAGTCTTGAAATCAAGTAGTCCTTTAAAAATTATGACTAATATCTTGTCTTAATAAAGCTGTCTAGAAAGAAGATGTGTGAAGTAGGAAAACATTGTACTCCTCAAAAGTAAATATCTGTAACTCCAAGAGGGTTCGAACACAGGATCATCTGGTCTCGTACGAAGTGCTCGGTTTTCAAACTAGTGAGCTGAGATACAGTTTCTTAGTGCAGTATACTGCAGGGTCGCCGTGAATTGTAGATTTGCATTGCTGAGCAGTCTCATACTATGACGAAACAACCTTACTGTGGTTCATGGTTTCTAATGGTTGTTGTTCAACAATCATCTAAAACCTTTCACATTGAATTTCATTTTTATTTGATGGTCAGGCTAGCCAACATTACCCGTATTTCTTAATTATTTGTAACGTCATGAGATAACAGTTTAATAAGTGGCATAAAAACCTTACACCATAAAAGTTTGAAATATAACAAAAACCTTAGGATTTAAACAAACAAGCCTGTTGATTTGGAAAGCAGACTCCGCATCAATGTGGTAACAAGGATGGTATTGATGACACATAAATTTCTTGATGACTTGAACATCTTAAAATCTCCTATCACTAAGCAGGACCGACTAGTCCATATTTTTGACCTACTACTTTTGTTATTCATTATTTGTTAAGTTAGTTTTGTTTTATGGAGAAAATGGACGAACCGACTTATTATTTGCTATCATTGGATGATATCAACATCTGATCAGTTTAACTAAAATTAATTCCCAGTGTAACCTAGACCACTGTTAAAAATATTTACACATCTATTTATCTATCTAATGCCGTAATTCTCAGATTTTGCATATACTATAGATCAGTTTTAAATAACTAGCTTTATCACTGAGTAGTCACATGCTAGGACAACATAACTAACGCATATTTCTTGACTTTCAGCAGTTACCGGGTTAAAGTGAGTACGTAATTCAAACCATAAAACTCAACAATCTTCATAAACTTCTGGTATTGATCACATGGGTTAATTATAAAGTTACAGATCATTATTTATATATGAGCTGGAATTTCAGCACTTAAACACATATAAGCACAAGCAAGTGGCTATCAGGACTCAGTAATTAAGTGGATAACGCGATGGAGTTTGAAGCGAACAATATTGGGTTCGAGTCCTAGAGTGAATATCAACTGCGAGATACAGGTACATCCAGCTAACGAGTCATAAATAGGAGGAAACGCGCGTCCTGGATTCCACTGCTAGCCACTGTTCATCTTTGTTTGAAATACTTGTGAATTAATATGGTATCGAGGCAATACGCACAGTATACACATATGCCAATAACAGACTGATCAGTTGCAATCCTAAACATCAAAGAGATGTTTCAATTAAATAATACCAAATTGAATTAAGCACATAATATTACATACGTGTTGTATTAATTCCGGTTAGATAATTTCCACTTGATAAATTAAGCTTTTGATAACCACTAAATAATATTTGTGAAAATTGCGCTTGATTTAACTGTGAACCAGCTAATGTTTGTAATTCAGTTTGTGCATTGCCTTGAACAGCATCAGTTGTAATATTGTTAGAGCTTTGAATTTGTCGTTTAGAAGGTGAATTTAGTGTAGTTTGAATGAATCCAATTAATGTACAAGTTGCGCCACGAGTTATTTGTGTATTTTGTGTTAGTAAACTCTGCAATAGCTTAAATTGTATTGAAGAGAGTGAAAAATATGATTTAATATACATAAAATAGTACATCATTGCTACTCATTAGGGAAAAACTATAAATATTTTGGTTAGCCAACACTTATAAGTACGTAATAATAATGGGTATGATAGATTTGACAATTTTTGTCAAAATATTGGAAAGGTTATAGCTAAACGATAATGATTTATTAGTTGAAATCATGAATCAATTGAAGCTAGACCACCATGGAAAACCTGGGAGCACCGGATGGCCGTTTCGTCCTAGTTTGGGAATCCTCAGCAGTGAAAATCCACGATCCCCCCTCGAGATAGGAACCCAGGAAATATCTATCTCGCGCGCCAGCACTTAACCATTAGACCACTGAGCCTTCATCTAAAGATGTTAATGTCTAACTTCAACCAATCCACGAAACTCAGCCACCGTAAAACACTGTCTTCGGTGAGCTGTTTGAGGAGAGTATTACGAAATATCATAACAGTTGAAGATACTTTTCGGGCCCATCTAACTGTTCTAGTAAGATTTACGCTTACATCTCCTAGCATAGAAGTTGGAGACGTTATTTTTGAGGTATACGTATCATTTCTTACTGTTAGACTGGGTGATAAAAGTTCAAATCCCGGGGAGAATATAATTCCTTCCAAGATTGTAAGGATGTCTAAGTGTTCAGTAACAACTAGCAGAGCGTCTTATCTACTATATTCAATCATTTAACATCTGTTAAACTTCTGTTTCGACATATGTGTTAGATGATGTATTCATGAGTTTTGCATTTCGTATATTCTGAACATAATTATGGCTGTAATTTGTAACAAAATTATACACCATGTTTGCTTTCTGAATTGATAGAATTGAAGTAAAAAAAATGACACATACCAAAGAACAGTAGTTTGTAGCCAAGGTTTTATAAGCACTCGTTGTTTTATCAGCATAATCATTTGACCATGGAACATACCTGCCAGTAGTGATAGCGTATATAATTGCTTTGACTTGAAACGCTGTGGTTACTAGATGTTATTGAAAAAAATAAAGATTAAGTAATTTGTTATGTTTATTTGAAGGAGTATTTCTGAAGATTAACATAACTTTTGAACAGTACTATTCATGAATTAACTTCATTCAGAGTATCATTGTAAACCGGGAAGAACTATACAGGTATTTATTGCTTGTATCGAACTACTCGGTTGTACTCACTCACTACCCAACTAGGGATTGAATTGCGAAACTTCATGATGTAGTGAGAACGCTTGATCATTAAAGCCACTAGAACAATGACCAACGGTGGAATTCCTAATACTCAATAGTCTAATGCTAGAATGAAGCAGTTATCGAGTGTCTTTTGGAAACCAATGGTATCCGGAATGAGGTAACGCTGTGACGAATACTGTCTGATTTGTTACACGTCACTTCATGGTTTAAGATGAATCTTCATAAAGCATTGCTCGAGAAAATGAATATTCTATCATAAATGTAGATTATATTTTGTAATTCAAATATCAAGAAACACAATGAATATTGGTCTGCAATAGGCGTAATAGGGGGTCACGATATGATGAATGCATAAATGATCTTTTCTAAAACCAGGTTCCACAGTCTGATGATCATGTGGGATTCCAACAGATTAAACCCAATCACAAGTAAACTTAACATTTCTAACTCCCATTTTAAGGACAGTAGCGTCAGTCGTTTCATTCCAATACACTAAAGCACCATTCGAAACAATCAATCATTTTGGTGACCAAAGGTTTGTCATCAGTCTTAAGAAGAATCAGTTTTAGTGAATTATGGAGCTTTAGGAGAAAGAATTTACACAAATCGTATCGTGGATCAAACTGATATCCACGTATTATAGAGTTAAACGTACGACTGACCAACTCACTTTCTATTGTTAAAATAAAATAAAAGGATGCTGATTAATAGATGATCAAGGCCATTTGATGATACAAAGTAGCTTGATGACATTTGCCTACCAAACAGAATTATTGATGCTGGCAGCCAAGTCATCCAAGGCAATGCCACTAGCCAGAAGGAAAAAAATTTATTGTCAAGTAACATGCTTGTATACAAACTATTAACAACAAAGCAACTTAATTCAATTTCATGAATCATTGGAAAATATTGATGTCGTAGTTCTTTCACTCCGCCATAAAATTAAATCCTAATTGTTAGAACAAATTGTGGCCTTTCATATTACAATCACTGTATTAGTAACACAGGAAAGACATTTTTATGAATCAAAACAAATAAAGCTTACCTCTATTAACATAGGTTGTCGTAGTGGTTGTCGTTTCAATGGTAGTCAACGTCGAAGCGTTTGTAAATAAATTAGTGACGGATTGCGTTGATTGACTCAAGAATGTAGAGGTTATTTCAGTTAGTTTATCAGTAGATGCTTTAGTCGTTAATACTGACATGGTTGTGGATGCATTGAAATCCATTACAGATGTGCTTGTTGTGAATGAAGTCTTAATGGCATTAATTGTACTATTTTCTTCAACTGTTCCCGTTGTATCTGTAGGATGAATTTAGAAGTGGAAGAAAATCAAATTGTTGATATTTGAATTTAATAAATTTATAAAAGATTTCCAGTCAAGTCACTTGACAGTCAATGGAAATCTTTTAAATGACACAAAATTTCATCCATTAGGAAAATCTGATACTTGAATATAAGGTCAGCGGAGACATAACGGCACAAGAAGGAGTGAATAATTAAACAGAATATGATAAGAAATTCCGAAAAATTTATGTTTCCAGGGAAATAATTAGGTAAGCTATCAAAAACGTTCGAAACATCCACAAGATTTCAAATTCCAATCGCTAACAAAAACCCTGCAGAGGAACCTATAACAAAATTAGAGTGCAGAATCAAACAGAAAGAATCAGAAGATTGACAAGAAAATATGGATGTCACTGAAGATTCAATAGGAGTGAGGGTTGCTAGTGTTCAGGTGCATGAGCAAGCAATGCAAAGGGATGTTACTATAACGCGATCAGTAGTGGAAAACAAATTGTCCAGTAGAGGTAGTCGGGTTAAACAAAAAACAATTAGTGTTCCAAATATGTGCAACTGATGTGGAGGTATCTTTTAAACAAAAATTAGAGTGTAGAATTAACCAACTGTTTGTCATTGTTTGTTATTCTCTACATCTAACTATGAGTGATTAATTATCAGTCGTGGTGATAGTAGCGTGTTCAAAATGATTCCAGCTTCCCATACCTGTCACTAATCTGTTACGGAAAAATATGAGTACAAATAATAGTGTATGCTTTCCAATATTGGAGTGAGCATGTGTTCTATTTTTTCGGAAGTGATCCTCATATCGAATTCCCAAATTGCTGTCCAATTTTAAAATGAATTCCTATAATTTATGTAGCACACTTTGTGGTTCTCGGAATGCAGTGAACTTGTATATATTTAAATAGTGCTACATTGTTGTATTCGATCTACATGGTCTGAAGTTTCGTTGAGTGTAAGATTTATATTGTGACCACAATCAAATCTTTGTTAGACAACTAGTGGGAATCAGGAAGCACTGGACAATTGTTTTGTCCTAGTACGGACCTCTCCAACAGTAAACATCAACGAGTTCATCGACGGTCGAACTCAAGACGCTCAGTTGTTGAGACGAGCATTCAACATGTGGACCACTGAACCGGTTTACATTTCCAACTTCGGTCGATCACAGATATTACGCAACCATCAGCTTCCATCATCTTCGTTTTACAATCACATCGCACTAGACACGATTTAACTGCATTCATCTCAACCTACTGGAATTCTAGCAACAAAACAGCAGTCCGTTTCCACCTACTTTTCATCTGTTCTCTGATTCAGGTCAATTCACAATATCAGCAACACTCAACAACCTCCACGAACAACCTCCCTATACTGTATGACTTTGTTAGGCCTGTAAAAATCAGTCTTATTCAGTTCTTCTTTATCTATTGAGTGAAGTGATCAGACCATGATAGAAAACGCCACTTATTCCAAACGCTGTGAAATGATGGGTTAAAAGTAAATAAAGTGTTTCATTAATTTAGGTAAGAAAATTCAAAGTCACTGGAATATACACCGTAACAATGTGAGACCTTAAAATACACAAAAACACATTCTATTTAATATTGGTATTCATTACGAATCCACCAACAGATGGGTGGGTTTTCATTCAGTCGGTTTGTTTGACTGGCTACATTATAAGACAATTCTTCACCCTATTGTAAAAACACCACAAAACAAACCCGCTTTAACACTTTACTTCATTATGGAAAACAACATGCACATCAGCTGATATAACAGCAGAATAAAGATATTCTCCTTTACCACGGTATATACTAATCTACTATGATCATGAATCCTGTGTCTAGACTGTACGGCCACTAGACTAAATGCTTGGTTGATGCACTATAGACAGACTGGGATCACATTATTCTGGATACACGATTCGCGACCAAATACAGGAAACCAGAATATTGTCTAGGAAATGCTTTGTTCAACACAACTACAAACAGTCTACACTCAGTGACTTCAGAGTAGAAATCGATCATAGAAAAGAAATCACCTATTAAATAGAAAGTAAGCTGAGTGTCAGTCGACGCTCAACAACCCGTCACATTTTACTCTCAAAAGCAACACGTAACGAGCACATGGAAAGATCTGACAATTCGGCCGATTTATATAACTAATACAACCACAGTCATTGAGTGATCTATAAACAATAAAATGTTTTGCTCACTTGTGCCTACAGTACTTGATGTTGTGGTGTTAGTTGGAGCTGATGTTGTCCCCACAGATTCTGTCGGTTGACTCGAAAGTGTGGATGTCAGTGAAGTTTGATTACCAGTGAGTGTTGTTGGTGTTGACGTGGATGTGCTCACTTGTGGAACTGTTGCGGAGGTATCTTTTAAACAAAAATTAGAGTGTAGAATTAACCGACTGTTTGTCATTGTTTGTTATTCTCTACATCTAACTATGAGTGATTAATTATCAGTCGTGGTGATAGTAGCGTGTTCAAAATGATTCCAGCTTCCCATACCTGTCACTAATCTGTTACGGAAAAATATGAGTACAAATAATAGTGTATGCTTTCCAATATTGGAGTGAGCATGTGTTCTATTTTTTCGGAAGTGATCCTCATATCGAATTCCCAAATTGCTGTCAAATTTTAAAATGAATTCCTATAATTTATGTAGCACACTTTGTGGTTCTCGGAATGCAGTGAACTTGTATATATTTAAATAGTGCTACATTGTTGTATTCGATCTACATGGTCTGAAGTTTCGTTGAGTGTAAGATTTATATTGTGACCACAATCAAATCTTTGTTAGACAACTAGTGGGAATCAGGAAGCACTGGACAATTGTTTTGTCCTAGTACGGACCTCTCCAACAGTAAACATCAACGAGTTCATCGACGGTCGAACTCAAGACGCTCAGTTGTTGAGACGAGCATTCAACATGTGGACCACTGAACCGGTTTACATTTCCAACTTCGGTCGATCACAGATATTACGCAACCATCAGCTTCCATCATCTTCGTTTTACAATCACATCGCACTAGACACGATTTAACTGCATTCATCTCAACCTACTGGAATTCTAGCAACAAAACAGCAGTCCGTTTCCACCTACTTTTCATCTGTTCTCTGATTCAGGTCAATTCACAATATCAGCAACACTCAACAACCTCCACGAACAACCTCCCTATACTGTATGACTTTGTTAGGCCTGTAAAAATCAGTCTTATTCAGTTCTTCTTTATCTATTGAGTGAAGTGATCAGACCATGATAGAAAACGCCACTTATTCCAAACGCTGTGAAATGATGGGTTAAAAGTAAATAAAGTGTTTCATTAATTTAGGTAAGAAAATTCAAAGTCACTGGAATATACACCGTAACAATGTGAGACCTTAAAATACACAAAAACACATTCTATTTAATATTGGTATTCATTACGAATCCACCAACAGATGGGTGGGTTTTCATTCAGTCGGTTTGTTTGACTGGCTACATTATAAGACAATTCTTCACCCTATTGTAAAAACATCACAAAACAAACCCGCTTTAACACTTTACTTCATTATGGAAAACAACATGCACATCAGCTGATATAACAGCAGAATAAAGATATTCTCCTTTACCACGGTATATACTAATCTACTATGATCATGAATCCTGTGTCTAGACTGTACGGCCACTAGACTAAATGCTTGGTTGATGCACTATAGACAGACTGGGATCACATTATTCTGGATACACGATTCGCGACCAAATACAGGAAACCAGAATATTGTCTAGGAAATGCTTTGTTCAACACAACTACAAACAGTCTACACTCAGTGACTTCAGAGTAGAAATCGATCATAGAAAAGAAATCACCTATTAAATAGAAAGTAAGCTGAGTGTCAGTCGACGCTCAACAACCCGTCACATTTTACTCTCAAAAGCAACACGTAACGAGCACATGGAAAGATCTGACAATTCGGCCGATTTATATAACTAATACAACCACAGTCATTGAGTGATCTATAAACAATAAAATGTTTTGCTCACTTGTGCCTACAGTACTTGATGTTGTGGTGTTAGTTGGAGCTGATGTTGTCCCCACAGATTCTGTCGGTTGACTCGAAAGTGTGGATGTCAGTGAAGTTTGATTACCAGTGAGTGTTGTTGGTGTTGACGTGGATGTGCTCACTTGTGGAACTGTTGCGGAGGTATCTTTTAAACAAAAATTAGAGTGTAGAATTAACCGACTGTTTGTCATTGTTTGTTATTCTCTACATCTAACTATGAGTGATTAATTATCAGTCGTGGTGATAGTAGCGTGTTCAAAATGATTCCAGCTTCCCATACCTGTCACTAATCTGTTACGGAAAAATATGAGTACAAATAATAGTGTATGCTTTCCAATATTGGAGTGAGCATGTGTTCTATTTTTTCGGAAGTGATCCTCATATCGAATTCCCAAATTGCTGTCAAATTTTAAAATGAATTCCTATAATTTATGTAGCACACTTTGTGGTTCTCGGAATGCAGTGAACTTGTATATATTTAAATAGTGCTACATTGTTGTATTCGATCTACATGGTCTGAAGTTTCGTTGAGTGTAAGATTTATATTGTGACCACAATCAAATCTTTGTTAGACAACTAGTGGGAATCAGGAAGCACTGGACAATTGTTTTGTCCTAGTACGGACCTCTCCAACAGTAAACATCAACGAGTTCATCGACGGTCGAACTCAAGACGCTCAGTTGTTGAGACGAGCATTCAACATGTGGACCACTGAACCGGTTTACATTTCCAACTTCGGTCGATCACAGATATTACGCAACCATCAGCTTCCATCATCTTCGTTTTACAATCACATCGCACTAGACACGATTTAACTGCATTCATCTCAACCTACTGGAATTCTAGCAACAAAACAGCAGTCCGTTTCCACCTACTTTTCATCTGTTCTCTGATTCAGGTCAATTCACAATATCAGCAACACTCAACAACCTCCACGAACAACCTCCCTATACTGTATGACTTTGTTAGGCCTGTAAAAATCAGTCTTATTCAGTTCTTCTTTATCTATTGAGTGAAGTGATCAGACCATGATAGAAAACGCCACTTATTCCAAACGCTGTGAAATGATGGGTTAAAAGTAAATAAAGTGTTTCATTAATTTAGGTAAGAAAATTCAAAGTCACTGGAATATACACCGTAACAATGTGAGACCTTAAAATACACAAAAACACATTCTATTTAATATTGGTATTCATTACGAATCCACCAACAGATGGGTGGGTTTTCATTCAGTCGGTTTGTTTGACTGGCTACATTATAAGACAATTCTTCACCCTATTGTAAAAACACCACAAAACAAACCCGCTTTAACACTTTACTTCATTATGGAAAACAACATGCACATCAGCTGATATAACAGCAGAATAAAGATATTCTCCTTTACCACGGTATATACTAATCTACTATGATCATGAATCCTGTGTCTAGACTGTACGGCCACTAGACTAAATGCTTGGTTGATGCACTATAGACAGACTGGGATCACATTATTCTGGATACACGATTCGCGACCAAATACAGGAAACCAGAATATTGTCTAGGAAATGCTTTGTTCAACACAACTACAAACAGTCTACACTCAGTGACTTCAGAGTAGAAATCGATCATAGAAAAGAAATCACCTATTAAATAGAAAGTAAGCTGAGTGTCAGTCGACGCTCAACAACCCGTCACATTTTACTCTCAAAAGCAACACGTAACGAGCACATGGAAAGATCTGACAATTCGGCCGATTTATATAACTAATACAACCACAGTCATTGAGTGATCTATAAACAATAAAATGTTTTGCTCACTTGTGCCTACAGTACTTGATGTTGTGGTGTTAGTTGGAGCTGATGTTGTCCCCACAGATTCTGTCGGTTGACTCGAAAGTGTGGATGTCAGTGAAGTTTGATTACCAGTGAGTGTTGTTGGTGTTGACGTGGATGTGCTCACTTGTGGAACTGTTGCGGAGGTATCTTTTAAACAAAAATTAGAGTGTAGAATTAACCGACTGTTTGTCATTGTTTGTTATTCTCTACATCTAACTATGAGTGATTAATTATCAGTCGTGGTGATAGTAGCGTGTTCAAAATGATTCCAGCTTCCCATACCTGTCACTAATCTGTTACGGAAAAATATGAGTACAAATAATAGTGTATGCTTTCCAATATTGGAGTGAGCATGTGTTCTATTTTTTCGGAAGTGATCCTCATATCGAATTCCCAAATTGCTGTCAAATTTTAAAATGAATTCCTATAATTTATGTAGCACACTTTGTGGTTCTCGGAATGCAGTGAACTTGTATATATTTAAATAGTGCTACATTGTTGTATTCGATCTACATGGTCTGAAGTTTCGTTGAGTGTAAGATTTATATTGTGACCACAATCAAATCTTTGTTAGACAACTAGTGGGAATCAGGAAGCACTGGACAATTGTTTTGTCCTAGTACGGACCTCTCCAACAGTAAACATCAACGAGTTCATCGACGGTCGAACTCAAGACGCTCAGTTGTTGAGACGAGCATTCAACATGTGGACCACTGAACCGGTTTACATTTCCAACTTCGGTCGATCACAGATATTACGCAACCATCAGCTTCCATCATCTTCGTTTTACAATCACATCGCACTAGACACGATTTAACTGCATTCATCTCAACCTACTGGAATTCTAGCAACAAAACAGCAGTCCGTTTCCACCTACTTTTCATCTGTTCTCTGATTCAGGTCAATTCACAATATCAGCAACACTCAACAACCTCCACGAACAACCTCCCTATACTGTATGACTTTGTTAGGCCTGTAAAAATCAGTCTTATTCAGTTCTTCTTTATCTATTGAGTGAAGTGATCAGACCATGATAGAAAACGCCACTTATTCCAAACGCTGTGAAATGATGGGTTAAAAGTAAATAAAGTGTTTCATTAATTTAGGTAAGAAAATTCAAAGTCACTGGAATATACACCGTAACAATGTGAGACCTTAAAATACACAAAAACACATTCTATTTAATATTGGTATTCATTACGAATCCACCAACAGATGGGTGGGTTTTCATTCAGTCGGTTTGTTTGACTGGCTACATTATAAGACAATTCTTCACCCTATTGTAAAAACACCACAAAACAAACCCGCTTTAACACTTTACTTCATTATGGAAAACAACATGCACATCAGCTGATATAACAGCAGAATAAAGATATTCTCCTTTACCACGGTATATACTAATCTACTATGATCATGAATCCTGTGTCTAGACTGTACGGCCACTAGACTAAATGCTTGGTTGATGCACTATAGACAGACTGGGATCACATTATTCTGGATACACGATTCGCGACCAAATACAGGAAACCAGAATATTGTCTAGGAAATGCTTTGTTCAACACAACTACAAACAGTCTACACTCAGTGACTTCAGAGTAGAAATCGATCATAGAAAAGAAATCACCTATTAAATAGAAAGTAAGCTGAGTGTCAGTCGACGCTCAACAACCCGTCACATTTTACTCTCAAAAGCAACACGTAACGAGCACATGGAAAGATCTGACAATTCGGCCGATTTATATAACTAATACAACCACAGTCATTGAGTGATCTATAAACAATAAAATGTTTTGCTCACTTGTGCCTACAGTACTTGATGTTGTGGTGTTAGTTGGAGCTGATGTTGTCCCCACAGATTCTGTCGGTTGACTCGAAAGTGTGGATGTCAGTGAAGTTTGATTACCAGTGAGTGTTGTTGGTGTTGACGTGGATGTGCTCACTTGTGGAACTGTTGCGGAGGTATCTTTTAAACAAAAATTAGAGTGTAGAATTAACCGACTGTTTGTCATTGTTTGTTATTCTCTACATCTAACTATGAGTGATTAATTATCAGTCGTGGTGATAGTAGCGTGTTCAAAATGATTCCAGCTTCCCATACCTGTCACTAATCTGTTACGGAAAAATATGAGTACAAATAATAGTGTATGCTTTCCAATATTGGAGTGAGCATGTGTTCTATTTTTTCGGAAGTGATCCTCATATCGAATTCCCAAATTGCTGTCAAATTTTAAAATGAATTCCTATAATTTATGTAGCACACTTTGTGGTTCTCGGAATGCAGTGAACTTGTATATATTTAAATAGTGCTACATTGTTGTATTCGATCTACATGGTCTGAAGTTTCGTTGAGTGTAAGATTTATATTGTGACCACAATCAAATCTTTGTTAGACAACTAGTGGGAATCAGGAAGCACTGGACAATTGTTTTGTCCTAGTACGGACCTCTCCAACAGTAAACATCAACGAGTTCATCGACGGTCGAACTCAAGACGCTCAGTTGTTGAGACGAGCATTCAACATGTGGACCACTGAACCGGTTTACATTTCCAACTTCGGTCGATCACAGATATTACGCAACCATCAGCTTCCATCATCTTCGTTTTACAATCACATCGCACTAGACACGATTTAACTGCATTCATCTCAACCTACTGGAATTCTAGCAACAAAACAGCAGTCCGTTTCCACCTACTTTTCATCTGTTCTCTGATTCAGGTCAATTCACAATATCAGCAACACTCAACAACCTCCACGAACAACCTCCCTATACTGTATGACTTTGTTAGGCCTGTAAAAATCAGTCTTATTCAGTTCTTCTTTATCTATTGAGTGAAGTGATCAGACCATGATAGAAAACGCCACTTATTCCAAACGCTGTGAAATGATGGGTTAAAAGTAAATAAAGTGTTTCATTAATTTAGGTAAGAAAATTCAAAGTCACTGGAATATACACCGTAACAATGTGAGACCTTAAAATACACAAAAACACATTCTATTTAATATTGGTATTCATTACGAATCCACCAACAGATGGGTGGGTTTTCATTCAGTCGGTTTGTTTGACTGGCTACATTATAAGACAATTCTTCACCCTATTGTAAAAACATCACAAAACAAACCCACTTTAACCCTTTACTTCATTAGCCAATACTTTATCCTTTTTAGGCTAAATAGTTGTGTTTTTAAATTTTTCATATTTGTTTTCTATCTTTGCCTACTTTTTTTTATTGTTTTGTTTGTTTTAATTAATAATATTATTTTTTCAACTCACTTTCTAATGTTGAGGATTGATTTTTTGTTTGAGTGGTTGTAGTTTTATGGTTGATTCTTGTGTATTATTTAATACTTCGGATTGAGTTTGCGTACTGGTTGGCGAGGTCGATGATTCTGTTGTGTTATTTGATGAGATACCTAGTTTGTGTATTTAAATGAACAGTTTACATTGTACATGTGGTTTACATTGTGCGAGCAAATATAAGCGTTGCATACATTTACATCCCGCTGGTCATCATAACCGCACTGGTTCTCAAGACATCAGTCGAACCCGCACTCCTATACAATTTTACATGCAGACATTCAAACTGTATGCCTTATGATCTTCCTATCCAGCATTTAGCCTGTACGTGTTTTCACTATGCTATTTTTTACCCGTATAGAAGTCGTGAATTTCACATACTTCAATAGAATCATTCATGTGGATGTTTGATCTGATGCATACATGTAGGCAATAATTGAAAATGCAAGGACAGCATTCCAATGGTTGAGGAATGTGTGAAATTCAAAACAGTTTTCGACCAATATCAGTGTCAAAATGTCCAATGTGAACGCTAAGACAGTTCAGCTAAAATTTTCAGAACTACTACAACAATCATGAAAACAGTACAAGTATTTATAAACAATTGTCTACGCAATATACTCAATATTCGTTGACCGGATACCATCAACAAAAGCCTACTACAAAATAAAACGAATCAGCTCCCAGTTGAAGAGAAAATTAGGAAAAGGCGTTGTAATTACATAGGTCATGCATTACGGAAATCATCAGACTTCATCATTAAGCTAGCTCCAACATGGAACCCTGAAGTGAAACGGAAAAAAGGAAGACCAAGGAACACATTGTGTAGGGAATTAGAAGCAGACATTCGTTGTCTTGATTATTATTTCGAGCCCATATACATCATTCTAGTTTTCGGACAGGCCAATCTATCCATTCTACTTGAGTCATATTTTGACCATGTTAATTATTTGCTCATCAATCTTGACCGTTTTTATATGAGTACATATATGTGTGTACACTTCCTATCCCATTACTCGTCACATGTCTGTAACTTATTTTGTGTGCTTATAAATATTGATTAACGCTTGACTAAAGGAAGTTGGTTTACCCGCCATCTCCACTGCTAATCGTTTCGCTTTTCTCTATTCCATTCGCTTTGTGTACAAAATATATGTATTTAAAAGTCCATTCTCGTTATTTGACTTATTCAATACCGTTAGTGACCAAAGCTATTTAAATCGATAATTATATACGGGGATAGGCGACATATATTATAATAACAGTCATTCATATATAAATAATACATTTGCAATGTCCTAACGAGTAAAAAATCTAATTATTTATAGCAATCTACCCAATGCTCAGTTTACTGGAAATTATCAAATCAAACCTTGGTAATGATACCTACAAAATCATTCATACGATCAAATTGGAGTCAGATTCCGAGCCACTAAAGTGGAGAGCCCGTCGTCTGATCCAAGTAACGACAAAATAAAGAGACCCACGAATTTCAGCGATGAATAAGAAACGGAAACAACTGGTAAGGATTTTTCAGGACAGAGTTCGATGGAGCATGCTGGTGGACGGCTTATTCTCCTCCACGATGGGTAAGAGGAGTGAACATGTAAGTACGTAGGAAAGTCAGCAAGTAAGTTGGTAAGTAGGTATGTAAGTAATTGGGTAAGTGGGTAAATAAGTAAGTAGGTGTGGTCGTAATTAACATGTGCGTTCAGGTTTTTTCCCCTCGTTATTTCAGCCGTGATCGTCAGTTGCGGATCGTTTTTATTGGCTGAATGACCTGGTCGACTTCGGTAGATAAGTTTGAAAAGCTAAACACTGTGGTAAATAGTGACAGAAGATACAGTAATTAACCGGTGTATCCCAATTGAAACGACATGGTGAAACATGTATGACATTAAACCAAATGCGGTAATTCACATTTATACATACAGTATCAATAATCAAAATTTCTGACGGAATTCACGAAACTGAAATGAAAACAAACATGAACAGTGAACAACAACAGAAAAGTTAGAAAAATGGCGCCTAATTAAAAACCGACACGACATAAAAAAGAAAGTACAGAACCGAATGAAGGAGGAAGGAACAAGCAAAATATATAGAAGGACTAATATAGAAAAAACAGTTAGCGAGAAATTATATAAAACCAACATCAAGCAAAGATTTGAATTAATGCTGAAAAACATCTTTCACGTGTTGAAATCCGGTATGGTTGAATGAAAGACTGTTCGACCGACAATTTCCGCGGCACCACTCAATCGACTTGACAACTTCACTCAATAGAGTGTGCTCCAGTGTGCACGTTCACTCAAAGTGTGCTATGCTCAACCCCAAACCTCCAGTAAAAAACCAACAACCATACTGATCACAACTACCAATGCACGCAATATTATTTCGTTTACATCACTAGGCACAATGTGAAGTGTTTGTGTGGGTGTGTGAAGCACGACATGGACTGTGCTTGCACATTCACTCACTGAAATTCACCAACGCATACAAGCAAACACTCACCGCCTACATGCATATTTTATGCTCATAATAATGTCCACAGACACACACATACTAACTCACGCAATCACATACGCACACACACTATATTCTCAAAGTGTGAGACAAGTCGATTCGATAATGATTTCAAGTAAACACACGACAGGTGTGCATTCGACACGTCATCAGGTGACGATCAACCGAATGAGGTGACACATATTGTGTGACATTCGTTGACGTGACCGATACACCGAACACACATGCTTTAAAAAACTGCACATATACGCAACACTGATTGCAAAGGAATAATAGAACTCAATGATCACGATCAACGGATCGGTCTGAGAATGTGTAGATATAAATGATGCTGTCGGTTCTGACGATGCAGTGGTCACTTCCGACGGGACAAGTGTGCCGGATTCGGAGGTAGATGCTTCGGTTGTGGTAGCCGTTGGAATGCTTAATGCTTATGTCCAGACAAACAAACAATGTGACGGGCAGTCCACAATAATAGTCGGATTATTTTTCATAGAATTTCCTGTAATTTCATCACATGATTTTTTCCAATTTCGCCTGATTCTACTTTTCTTTCATGTTTTTCTCAAACCATTTATCAATTGAGTTGTATGTATTTACATTATTTCATATCATTCCTTGTTCCACCTTAGACCGTTTTCCTTATTTTTCTCATTTTTCTTCTTTTCTTGCTATGTCTGTGTTGGTTGTTTCTATTCAAAACATAATTTTTTGACTAATGCGTTCTACCGTTTTCTCTTATTATGTCGCGTGTCAGCTATCAATTGGTTTACTTAATCTTCTGTATGTTGTTCGCCATTCTAAAATCTTCTACTTTATTTTCATTGTTTCGGTTATGGTGTATTTGGAGCATTGATTCTCATCAATCTATTTCACATCACCTTTTAAGTACTTCAAATAAGTTGTGGCTTTTTCTATACTCTGAAATATACCAGTGCGTTTGTTAAATGGTAATATTTAAATCGAATCATGGACTCACTATTAATTTCTAAATTAGACAATTGCACTCCAAATGATGTGTTTAGTTGACTGATACCAGAATTGATGATTTGTGTAACTGATGTTGAGTTCAGCACTGCGGCTTCAGGAGATGCAATCTGTAGGTCTGCTGTTCCCTGGACACCTTGTGTTGTATTTTGGTCTAAGCTCCCATTTGTGTTTATCTGTCGCTTCTGACGGTTTACCAA